TGCAACCTAAAAATAAAAATAGACAAGTAAATACTCCTCTCATCCCAAGATACAGTCATGTTTCATCAATGTACGTTTTACTTTATTTTGGTAATCAGCCAATAACATACAGTTCTAATTAAAAAAACAGTTCTAATAAATCATGAATGCTAATTATATTTTTAAAATTTATTGTATGAATAAGAGCCCATTTGGTATTTTGGTTAGAGTATTGAGTACATGTGCTTGAATCTCTTGAGATTGTTTTAGTTATGGCTGAATTAGAAAAAACAAATCATAATTAAAATATACGGAGTATATGTTAATAATAAAATAAATTTTTATATGGGAAAAAAGCTAGAATTGTTCTCTTCGGCCAGTTCAGCAAAAGAAAGAAAAGCCACATGCCAGTTCAGACTATAAACACTAAACTACTAACCAAAAAACAGTTTTCATATAATTGACAACCAAAACATACAATCATAAGCTCTATAAGGCATTGCCTAACCTTCACTTGAAAGACTGCAGGTCATTCTTAGTCAAGGAAAGATGCAATTAAACTAAGATTCTGCTATGAATACTGTAGAATAAAAACTCTTAGCTACAGACTACAGTGGAGGATTTTACAATGGTTAATACCAAAGAACAATCAAGATCCCATATTGACAATTGAGTGACTTGAGTTTAAATATATAATGGCAAGTCCAGTGAGAATTCCAACCCTATGTGCCTCTCAAAAGTAAATTTAAAATTGACATTTGATGATTAAGATTAAGATTTACTCAAGCTACATCTAAAACCTTTATATTGTGCATAAATGTATTGGAGCATACAATTTAGAAAAGAAAAAAAATATCCCACAACATAATACTCCATATCAATTATACAATAAGATTAACACTACAAATATCTCAAATCATTGTTTCCCATAGTATTTCTATATTTGTGTAATAATGTATGTTGCAGGCACGTTATCTCATTATTCCTTTTTTAAAAGGTTGAGAGTTGAGACTAGGAAGAACATCCTGAGTTTTTTTTTTTTTAATTTCGATAACTAATTGAAACTATAATTTTGATGACCTAAATCATTTTCACCGTCCTTTAATCATAGGCTTTAAAAAAATGAGGATAAAAAGGTAAATAACAAACACAAATCAATCGAAATGAAATTGAAAGAGCTCAAAAAGACAAATTTAAATTGCAGTTAGAACAATGAAAAAGCAAGCACCTGGCATGGATAATTCTGACGCTGGTCTTCATATTGGGCTTTGACCAATTGTATGCAATAGATCCCGTAATACCGCTCAGCCACAGACATCCTTCAAACGAAATTAAAAATTTATTGTGAATAAATAAAAAACGTGATGAAGAACTATTGCAGAAGTGCAGAAGAATCGAAAATCCATACCGACGGTGCGAAGCTTGTGCTCAGAGACCCACTCTTTGGCGGAATCGAAGGTGGACTTGGGGGTAGACTGGGAATCTGCCATTTTCTGGGTTGTTGAAGATGGGATGGAGAAATTCCTAGGGTTGAATGCTAAGAGAACCCCGACTATTATCAAGTAAAGGAGAAGGGAAAAGAAAATTGTTGACGAAGAGGGTAGAGATGATGATGATCGTTCGTCGATGTATATAACCCGTGAAGAATCCGGTGGGCGCGCATCTTTTCGGAATGTAGAATCAGCGCCTCCTTGAATCCTTTGTCCATTGTTTTGCCGAAATGAATATACAAATTCAAAAAAAAAAAAAAATTAAATGAAAATCAATTGTGTATTCATATACTACCTCCGTTCTTAAATAAGTTTAACAGTGAAATTTTACACTATTCACATGTTCCACTTTGACTACATTTTATTTATTGATGTATCAATATATATTTTTTAAAAATATATTATTAAATTTGTCTTATTGTAAATTTTCAAAAACTGATTTTTTTACATTTTTTACTGATAGAGAATTAATTCGTATATATATTAAGGGTCAAAGTTGTGTCTCGATAAGTGTGAAATATTGACTGTTGCACATTTAAGTTATTTAAGAACGGAGGAAGTACTAGTACAAAATAGATTCGACGTGTAAACTGTCGTGTACAAATAGCATTTTTGTTCCAAAAACACATTGAACTTACTTTGTGTTACTGTTGATCAATATTTTAATTTTAGATATGAGAAAAAAATCAATTCAGCTTGTAAGTGTTATCAGTTACAAGCTGTTGATTTTAACAATTTAAACTAATATTTTAATATTAGTATATCAGTTAAAAATCAATTCTAACATTAGAAATATTAAAGTGTTATTTTAACTGATCAATATTTTAATATTTCTAATGTTATTCTCATAACATTAGAAATATTAAAGTGTTATTTTAACCGATCAATATTTTAACTGATTAATATTAGTATATCAGTTAAAATAACACTTTAATATTTCTAATGTTATGTTTACTCGTCTATTTATCCAAAAGTTTATTTAACAATTTTTTAGAAAAACATTTATTATTTATTTATATGTATCTTGGATGTGATTGATAAATAGCTAATACTGGGATACCAGTAGCAGTATCTAGAGAAAAGACAAAGTTATTAAGTAAAAGACAGACAGAGAGAGAGAGAGATGGCAATCGTAGAACAATGGTCTTTTACAACTGCCCAAGGGACTGCTATTTAAACGAGTCATAAATGTTAGGTGCATCAAATGCACACACACATGTAAGCTAATCTATGACAGAGATTTCCCTATGGTGCGGGCACGTGGCGCAATATTAAATGTAGTAGTCGGATGTTGAGAAACACTAGACGGAATGTCCCTTCCGGTGCCGAAGGCTCTAATAGTTAATAAAGCAAAGAAAAATTATACGAAAAAGACAAAATTATTTCATAACTTCAATTAATTCGGTTAGAAAGGTTAATGTCTCCTTACTTATTTTGATTATTACACAAATCAGGATTAACTGTCAAGCTCAAAACAAGAGCTACTAAACAGGTTCAAAATGTTAAGTCTGCTAAACTCATACGTGAAAAGACAATTTAGATTTTTATTGACAATCAATACAAAATGTGATAATCACTTTTACTTCCTCCAATGAACATAACATTTTTTATCATCAAAACAGACCGCTTTATATTAAAATCATAGGAAAGGAATCATTACAACAAACTCAAAAATACCAACCCTGACAACAACTATCCCTAACCAACTAGCACTATCAACACTACGACTAGACTCAGAGACAATAATCTCCAAAAGAGCAATACGAACCGCTAACCACCAAACGGATGTGACACAACAATCACTGGACATATAGATCCTTCCGTCGACATAATATCTAGCAGATTTGTCAATCATAATTGTAGACCTAAAACTTAAGACATCAACAAAAACAGAGCAACATAAAAAACGCAAAAATAAAACCATAAAAAAATTTAAATAATTGATAAATCTTCCAAACCATAGCATCTCGCCGGTCCTTCACCCTCTACCTATGTTGATTCGCCAGAAATTAACCCTTCAAGCTCCTCCTTAATTGCAAGAATGAGACAACATTGTTTTAGATCTTCCATAGAAGACATGTTTATCGTTTCTTGAATCCTGGATTCGTTTCCTAAATATGCAACCGTACTCACGCCCCCTTTAAAATTGACAACAACCATGAGAAAAAGAGAGCCAAATGAAAGGTTTATGCGCGCCCCCCTTATAACAAGAATAAACGCCAAATAAGAAGAGTAAAATCTCCGCCGGAAAAACTCAACTAGGAGAACCGTATACGATGGCTGCAGGAAACGTGGATGAGTCATGAACATAACATTCTTAAAAAGCATAAAAAATAGCATATATAAAACAATAAATTATTACCCCGTACTTTTTATGTAATACGTAGATGTCCATTACTCAGTGGCTCATATGTATTATCAGGGTCAAGCTCTTTCACTAAGCGCCCTAATCTTGTTCTCCCCTGTGTATACACACTATAACCTTGTTTGTTAAATGGTTGTTAGCTGTTGCTGTTAGCTGGTTGTATCAGCTGTTTCTTAACAGCTGGTTGTGTTAGCTGTTTTGACCGGCTTGTTACGTTAGCTGATTATAAATAACTGTTTGGTAAAATTGGTTGTTTCGAAATGGCTGATAGAGTGTAAATTGAACCAGCCGAATGAAGAAGTTGCTCTCCTTAACTTCTTCAACCATCCATTTTTCTAGTTTTCAAATTCAACAAGCTAATTTTAGAAGCCATTTACCAAACACTATTATTAGCTTCTTGCCATTATCCAAGCTAAAAGCTGGCTAATAAGCCATTTGTCAAACATGCCCATAGATGTGTATTTTTTACCCCTTTTTGAACACTTTATATTGACATTATCGCCGCATTGAACATTGTCAAATTTGAATTAGATTAAAAATAAAAAATAAAAGTAAAGAATCGAGTAGTTGAAATTTGTGAAGATGAGAAAAAATTAACACAAACACAAATTATTTATTTTAATGAAAAGTTCCGAAAAATTTGTAATAAAAAAAATGAAATTTGACAAAATAGGACGAAAGAGTGTTTTTTGTGTGATATTGAATTACTCCGTATTTTGTTATAGATAGACATTATTTTTTATTACCTGACTTGACAAAATTGTTTGTAGAATTTTGACGTAAATACAAAAGTAAAATGCTAGGGGTACACAAGTTGTACACAACTTGTATACACAATGTCGGTCACAGACAATTGGTACGGAGTTGTCTGTGACCACAGACAAGAGTTGTCTGTGTACACAGACAAATTTTGTTTGTTTCCACATACATTTACTTTTTTGTAAAAAGTACACAGAGAGCCGTGTGACACTGACAAGTACTTTTTACAAAAAAGTAAATGTCTGTGGAAACAGACAAAATTTTTGTGTGTACACAAACAACTCTTGTTTGTGGTCATACACAACTCCGTACCAATTGTCTGTGACCGACATTGTGTGTACAAGTTGTGTACAACTTGTGTACTCCTAACATTTTCCAATACAAAATTTGTACCAAAAATGGTTGATTTTTCTAAGAAAGCTCCCACAAATCACGTGTCCTCTCTAGCCCAAGTTCGCTGTGCGAGTAGTATACTCCGCATTTACGACTACGTTTGGTGCCGTTTTACTTCCTCAGTTCACCGTGTGGAGTCTTCCCTGATCTGAGCGTCGACAATTCTGCGTTCCATTTTGATTGAAGGTATTATTTTGATTATATTTTTCGAATTTGATTGCTGGATTGCTTTCGCTGCTTCTCAATTCCCAACTTAAACAACGCCGTTTGTTCTTTTGTTGCTGATAATACAGCAAAATCGTAACTTTTTCCTGGTCTACTCTCTTCTTGTTTTCTGAAGATTATTTAATTCCTCATTAGCATTCAAACAGAACAGTTAAACCGAGGCAGAGAGAAGGATACAACTTTAGATATTTAGGGTTATCTCTGCAATTCTTATATCTTTCCATCCATATTAGGGAGTGTTCCCAATTCAGTACATAGAAATCTCAGTTTCCAGGTATCGCAGAGCATGTACATTCACTCTTTATTTCCAAAAGTAGACATTTTTCACAGGTTGGATGTTGATTTGTTAAAGTTTGTGGTTCAAGAGAATCTTTTATTACTCCGTATTTCTTAATTTCCATGCCTCAGATGTTAATTAATTATATATTTTAAGACTCTGGAATCTGTTGGCTTCTATCGGTTTTGCACTGGTCTGTTTCCATGAAACATTTTTTCTTTGTAATCATGTTCAGCACTTGCCTTTTACATACATGTTTTACACTTCTACTAAGCTAGACGTACATTTTTTTATAATGTACAGTCTTTTTACCAAGTACTAGTATCATATATTTTCTAATGCTTTCAGGTGCAATGACTCGTCTAAGCAGGACCATTTATGTTGGCAATCTCCCTGAAGATATTCGGGAGAGAGAAGTTGAAGATTTGTTTTACAAGGTTGCTTTTCTATTCTATGAGATAATAATGCTGGTAGACCTACATACTTATGGCCTCCACATATTAGCTTTATAAATGAGCAACTCATCCTCTCTTCGTGTGTATTTCCTTGCAGTATCCTGTTTCATACTCCCTTTATCCTGAACCAATCTTCTTGTGTTAGCACACCTATTAAAAAGTGTGGCTGAAATTGAAAGTTCATCACTGAGACTAGGGTTGAGATGATTGAAAATGAAAGTTCGGGGTTGAGACTAGGGTTGAAACAAGTTAAGCAATTCAACCCCAATTGTGCGACAAAGGAAACATGAAGATTAATACTTGGGACAGACCACAGAAAACAGGAAGATTATTTCAGGACGTAGGGAGTATAATGTTTTTCCATTAAAGTAGTCTGTTAGGGGAGAGGTGGCTTAAAAGACTAGAAGGCGAAACATCATATTACATCATCTTGTTTTGTGCCATTTTCTTAAGAGGTCTCACTCACATTATGGGTGTTTTTAATTGGACTGGAATTTTCAGTCTCTATAAGTCTAGTCTGAATTCATCAGGTAGATTTCTATTCTATGTGTATTTTACAACTATCTAAGTCTGGCCTGGCTTAGCCTGTTTTAGTTTTGTTTGATTTGATCTAGTTTGGGACTGAAACCAATCCAATTAAAAACATCCTATGTCATCATATTCACTCTGTGCTATTTTATGTTTATAATTGAGTAGAGCTGTAGAGTAATGATAGTTCCTGTTGAGAGCTAGGGACTGCTGTTCTTAGTCCTCTAGTTCTTTTATTTTGATAGATATAATTGTAATCTACTTGGCAATTTGCTGCAGTATGGGAATATTGTTGAGATTGAGTTGAAAAATCCATCAAAACCTCCTGCTTATGCTTTTGTGGAGGTGAGCTTAATTAAGAACCTGTCATATCAACATATATTTTGTTTCACAGTTGAACTTTTCTAACTGTTCATTTGTCACAGTTTGAAGATCGCTATGATGCTGAAGATGCTATTCGTGGTCGTGATGGCTATATCTTTGATGGGTGTCGCTTGCGAGTAAGACAAATGTGATTCAATGTTTAATTTTTCCTTGCTGCTATTTCTAGTGCTTGGAAATTATAATCTGTGGCTTTCATCAATCTATACAGGTTGAAATTGCACATGGTGGGCGAGGAACATCATCATATGATCGCCACAGCAGCTATAGTAGTGGGAGTCGTGGTGGAGTTTCAAGGCGTTCTGACTTTCGGGGTAAGCATGATTTTGTATCATCTGAACTGCAAATTTGATTTTCCAGCAAATGGGTTTTGACCTTATGAAAGTTTTGTATGCTGGTGTTGTAAGCTCAGTCCTAAATTTTCATAAAATAATATCAAACTCTACTCGAGTTGAACTGTGATGAGGTTGCATTTCTTAAATACCCATCAATGAACGGTTAGGGTGAATGATGGACATATATCAAGATTTGTATCAATTTACTATGTCTTTTACATGGTAAAAGTACAATGTATACTCACTTGACCTAAGAGAAATTTAACACTCCTCCCAAAGGAACAGACACATTTGGTTTAAGGTACATTTTTTTGGCATGGTAAAACTTCTTAAATCCATGAAATCCTACCTATAGGCTATAGCTTTAAGTTTCACTTCTTGCTTAACCTTAATTTATGATTTTTAACTTGTTTGTAACTTATTTTATGGCAAATCACATGAAAAGGTAGTATTGTGGTAAAATGTGGCTCTTTATAAGATTTTAAGGTATTAAAAACTTTTTGATATAGTTTTTTTGGACGTAGGGGGATAGTTACTATATATTCTTTGCTGATAGAAATAAAGTTCGAGAAACCAGAATCGGTCCCAGTCCCATCACTCCCATGAGGCGCGCCTAGACATCACACACTAACACTCCAGTTACTCGGATTTTGTTATTATTTGAATTCAAATAACAAGTTATAGCACTCATGGGTACATCACCCAAGTCTGTTACATAAATGTAAGTCATAGAGTGGCCTAGTAACAATACCAACTCAAAATAGTAAATACCTTAAAAGTGAAATAGTCCTACTTGTTAAATTAAACCCAAGTCATATTTCATTCAGAAGGCTAGTGCATAGTCAGCCACTTAGGGGAATTTTTAAATCACTGCAAATAAATAAACCCGCCTCTCCAAACACACATGCAGCAGCAAGTATGTCAGAGCCTCAGAGGGCATTATTGTTGTCAAATAAGTTGTGGGTGAAGGGAGTATAGAAGTTAGGCGTTGAATATAGTATGAAGTAATAGTTTTATATTAACATTTAAAAGTTACTACCTCCGTCCCATATTGGTTGTCCACTTTCAATTTGGCACGATTATTAATAAAGTGGTTGAAAAGTAAAAGTTGTGGTTGAGATTTGAGTAGAATAAAGTGAAATGATAATGATCACATATTTCTTGCCAAAAAGGAAACAAGACATTCTTTTTGGGACAACCCAAAAAGGAAAGGACAACCAAAATGGGACGGAGGGAGTATTTATTTGTAATGTCAAATGATTGCTATTGCTTTATTATGTTGTGATAATTTTTTGTGTATCACGGCGCTGGTTGTGTATTTGTGTTCGTGCATCTTTTATTTATGCATGTTGAATTTACATGTGCATTCCGAACGTGTTTCTGAGATTCTTCTCTGCAGTCCTGGTTACCGGGCTTCCTACCTCTGCCTCGTGGCAAGATCTGAAGGTAAGAAAGAATCTTATGGCCATCTGATTTGAATATTTGATTGTTATAGAGTAGTGTAGACTGTACGACATTGGACACGACATTATTTATACCTGTCTTGTTTGTGCTAAGGATCACATGCGCCGAGCTGGAGATGTCTGCTTCTCTCAAGTTTACCGGGATCGTGATGGTATTGTTGCATGACATTTCTCTTGCTGATTTTAAATTTACCGATATTCACTGTTTTCATTGTTCTGAGTACCACTTATTGTGCAAGGCGTGAGAGGAATTGTGGACTACACAAACTCTGATGACATGAAGTATGCGGTAAGATAGTAATCAGCTTAAGCTGACAAAGTCCAGTGGTTATATTTACTTAGTAGTCTTCACTACAGTTGTTCTAAATTATCTTATTCGTTATTTTATAATTATCACTTCTTTTGTGCAGATAAAGAAGCTTGATGACTCTCTATTCAAAAATCAACAGTCTCGGGCGTATATACGGGTTTGTTTTTCTTGTGATTCATCGGTCACTTATGATTAAGTATGATATGAATGATTTTCTCATCCAGTATGCTTCTAGGTTGTGAAGCATGATTGTAAAAGAAGCCCCTCCAGGAGTCCTAGTCCATATAACTCTAGGAGCAGAAGTCGCTCAAGAAGCCGGAGTCCTAAACGCCGTAGAAGCAAGAGCAGAAGGTTTGTTGTTAATCACTCACAAGTGGATTGTTGCTATCAGTCACATATGTTATGTTGTCTAAAGCACAAACTTTAACAGTCCATCCCCAAGGGGCAAACGTTCCCGTCGATCAGTATCTAGACCGCATTCAAGGTCTATTTCTCCTGTTCACTCTATTTCAAGGTACTAATATTGCACTTGCCTGGATTTTTATTTCTTACGTTGAATTTGAATCTTTGTTATGGATATTAACAGCCTACTTTGATAGTTTGATTTATTGATGCGTGTTGTAAGGTAGAACTGATTTTTTGCTGAATACAATCTTGATTAGAACTTAGCCAGGCATCTCTGTTTTCTTCCAATTAGATAGATGGGTACTTTATTCCTGTTTAAGCTTCAACCGCTTCCATGACTATTGACATATCTTCCTATTCGGTCCACTCTGGTTGAAGATGTTACATTATCAGAAACAAGGTTGGGAAATGCAGTTGCGCTTCGAAACTCTGGTTTTGCAAGCATTTTCTTTCTTGAATAAAGACATCTTGCTGTTAGTTGTTTGTGCTAGAATAGTTAGCTAACTACCAACTTTACTACCTTTTTGTCTAAAACCTTTGCTTTTCAATAACTATCTAGGTTTACATCCTAGGCTAACTAGGATAAGAATATACTTTATTCAAAGCAAGTTTTGCTACAAGTTGTTACTTATCAAGTTTTCTGTAATTTGCTTTTATATGCATTTCTGTGAACCAACATAAAAAATTAACTGAGATCTTGTCCAAGTACATGCAAATCAAAAAGTGTGTATCCCTTATGAACATTAAAGCTGGCATAAGTTTGTGGTTGGTGCATCTCTTGGGTATTATGTTATCAGAAATTTGTATTATTTGTGGAATGATGTGCTCACAATATTACAGTACTTAATTTAAAGCTGTGGGGTTATTCACACAACTTTCTTGGGTATTGCATTGTCAGCAAGATCTGCTCTGCATATTTCAACAAATATGGATATAACATATGAAACCAAGTTCAAATCTTTGAGCATATAAAACATTTGGCGGTTGTAATTTCATTTACTGCATAATTAGGCTTTAATAATTTGCGAAGGGGACTCACATTTTCTTTGGCATTTGATAAATAAGTTAATCCCAGACAGCGCACATTGCAGAACAGACTTTATTCATGGAAACTTTGTGTGTATAAAACTCCCAATTTTGACGATATAATTTCTTTCTGTGACACTAGAGTAAATAATTTCTTTTAAACAACATAATTTACATCAAGCAAAGTTTTTGCAAACAATATGTAGTCTAGGTTGTACCATAGGATCTGTTACCAGCCGTTTCCAACTTATCTGCTCGACATCGCTATCTCTGAATGGCATTTGGTATACTAGGGAGTCCAGCTCACAAAGCATTGTGGGCCTTAGCGAACAGTAGACGCATGAAGCGCGGGAGACCTGCAATGGCAATGAACACTCCGTGGATCAATATTCATTGCAAAACCCATCCATACTCAACCCAAGACTCAACCAACATACATGGTGAGCTGGGTGTCATATACAATTAGTATCTAACAGGGAGAGATAAATCGAGAAGAGATACCAGATTCGTGGTTAATATAAGATTTTATGAAAGCTGTGTTTCTTTTTCTCTTTTCTAGATCTGGCTTTCCGCAGCTATCTGGGGATTGCTTGTTAGGGACTTGATGGTTACGGCGCTCTCAAATTCATCCCATTCAGTTGGGTTATGGCAGTGTGCGCTCGTATAGTTTGGTTACCAATCTTCAACAAAACCTTGATGGTAAAAATTGTGTTTTTTGTTAAACGGCTTGCATGGTGATGTGAGTGATTTAAATCATATCTGTGATGATGCTGATTCTAATTCAGTCCTATGAAATCTAATCTTGCATCCGTTCAGATGTGTTCTTGGATTGTCCCAACATAAATATGCTGGCAAATGTAAGGTTGGAAGTTTGCCTAACCAGTTGTGGTTTGATTAGAGCTTTTAAGCAGCTGTGTTTATAATATTCCGAAGAAAAATCTCAATATTTGACTCTGGGTTTACAAATTCTTTGATGCATTATATTTTCTTCTCTGGAACCCGATCTGAACCATTAAGAAATGGTGCTGAAAAGAAACAATCTTTTCTATTGAGTTTCAATGTAAACATGATGTTCTATGATTTTGGCAGATCTGTGTCAAGATCCAAATCACCAGCATCACCAACTGTAAGTGATAAATCAATGTCTTTAGAAGCATTTTTCTTATTGTTCGGATTAGTGCCTATTATTATTACTGTGTGTATGTTCAGCGTGCAAAGAATGCGACGACCAAGGAACCTAGCCGAAGCAGAAGTAGAAGTCTGTCTCGTCCCCGTTCTGTAAGTGTGCTACCCTACTACTACTACTAATATGATTGGTCTTATTCTTTCCTTCAAAAAGATGAGATCTGTTTCCTGAAAATTCTGCAGGAGAGATCTGATGTGGAGCAGCTGCCAGCTTGAGAAACATGATTAGAGGAATCTTATAGACCTTCATGGCATGCAATTTTAGGGACTTATATTTGTCGTGAAATTTAAGACTAAGAAGAGACGTTGTGATGATTCTCTACGGGTTTTGGGGATATATGGTGTCCTCATTTTTTTAATCAGTTATGGTCTTTTTCTTATTGCATTCTACAACTGTATCTGCCAGTTTTATGCGCTTATTATTGTGCAAGGACTTACGGTTTCTTCTCCAACTCAATTAGAATTGTGTTTGTAAAGGTTGTTTGGCCGGATGAGCAAGAAATTTAGTTGAAAATTTCAAAACCCAAATATTTATCTATTAATTGGAAAACTTTATTAGAATATGCGTTTGCCTTTTCCGTTTTCTATATCTAGTAGCTGAAAGAATCTCATTTTATTAGTGCTTCAGAATTAAATTGAGTTAATTGACGAACTAAGGCAGCTTTTAATTTTTTTTTTAATAGAAAAAGGGTTATATATTTTTTCAAAATAAAATATAGGTTTTGAAGTTCAAATATACATAATGCCCGAAATAGAAAATAGTCACCACCGGTTATTATGTTGTTAAACATGTCTCTCAACTTTTTTTGAGAGAGAATGGCTCTCAACTTTTTTGTTGTGCTTTCTAATTTATTAGTGTCGGTTTTAACTTCTAATAATTCACTCAAGATTATCCAATATCTAATCATAAAAAACCATTTTTCTTAATAGTCACATCACCTTCTCAAAGCTCAATGTTAGTGGGATGGAAATGGTAGTTTTAAATCATTTGAGTTCTCTCATTGATAGTGAATCTAGTTTTCAGTAAGCAGCTCCAAGTCTCCAACTAGGCCTGGACTCGGGCCAGGTGGCGCGACCCAGAACCGGCCTGAACTGGCACTGTTCCGGCTCGGCCCGGTGGCCCGGTCAGTGACCGGTCCGGGTAGGCCTGACCCGTGGGGGTTCCGGTCCGGGCTCAGGCCCCCCAAATCATGAACCGGCCCGGCCGGTTCGGGCCCGGTTCTGGGTCTTTTTTATTTTTGTTTTCAATTTTTTTTAGTTTTCGGGTATGGCTGGGCAATTTGGGCCGTTTGGGGTGGTTTGGGGGTGAGGGGGGGGGGGGGGGGGGTTGGGGATTAACTAGGAAAAGGAAAAAAAAATAACAAAGGCCCGAGGCCCGGCCCGAGTCCACCCCCAGCTCCAACTAGTTTGTTTTTTGATCATTCAGATTTTCCAGATCGTGGAAATGTGAAGTTCGGCTTCCTGAGTGTATTTTCTCAGGTCACACTTCAGAGAACGAAAAACGGACTCCTATATTGACAATGGAGAATTTATGCAACAAGACATTGTTGGTCACGAGGAATAACTGTTTGCTACCGGTAATATAAACTTGCAGATGAAAATTTATAGAATGGGGAATCAACTTTTCATTGTAGGTTTAGGGAGCTAGGGCTTGTTTTTATCGTGTGAGGCACTCATTTACCTACACTTGGGCCTTCTCTTTTCATTGTTTTCCTTTGTTTGCTTTTTTCCTTTTATCTTCTTTTTGGCATTGTACTTTTTCCCTTTCTTTAATACGGAATAAAAGATTTCTTTCGTCTAAAAAAAGAAAAAAAAAAACAACAAAAGTATATAATAGTGTTTGAGAGAAACCACTAGGAGGTGTTTACATATTTACTAAATGTTTTTCCACTTGAATACTTGATTGATACTTATATGCGGTTAAATTTATGCACATTAAAACCAAAAGTGTAGGCACAGAGAGGGATGTCTAAAAGAGTTCTTCACATTTTCTATTAAGGATATGTTTGACACACAAAAGCTTCTAGCTTCTAGCTTATCTACTGTTTAAAAAGACCTTAAAAGACTCTAGTTATATGTTTGACATGACATTTTTTAAGAACTTTTCAAAAATTAAAAGATCTTTTTGAGATGTTACCGGATGTAGCATCTGAGAAAAACTCGTGACTTTTAGTATTATTTAGTCCTAATAGCTTGTATATCAAAGCGAACTAAATCAAACAGTCAGCTTTTACCAAACAACTATCACTTTTTCTTTTCAAGATCTTTTCAGTCACTAAAAGCTAATAGTTACTAAAAAGCTCACAAAAGTATCTTTTCAACTAGTTGAGCCAAACATACTAAATGTTACTTAAATAGTACATTAAAACATATTTTTTCACTTAACACTACATAGTAGAACTCTTACTTTTTAAATCACTTTTCTTTTCAATCACTATCAAGTTTTATAATTGAAACACTTCTATAATCTATAAAATAAATCACTTATGAAAAAACATAAACATATTCTAAGATATGCCGCGAAGTGATTTTGAGATTAAAGTGTAAAATATATTATGAAAAAACATAAATATTTATATGAGACTTATATGAGGGCAACTCTCATATAAATATAATAATTTGAGTATGATATTTGTCTTTGAGATCATTTGGAATTTTTATAGGGACAGCAAAAACAATTAGTTCGAAGAGCATCAATGCAATTGTTCTGCCTACCAAGTAGTCTAGGTTTGCCAGTTGCCACGAAGTGCGTTTGTTTGAAAGAAGAATGTCTTACATGACAACAAAACTAATGGTAGAAAACATGGTATAAAACATTAAATATCATTTCTTTATATATTTTTACAGAATACCCATGCAACTCCTGCCGGTCATATGAAAGGGTTAAATGTCCCATTATGAAATGCTTGAAAAATAGGATGAATTTAAATATAGTTGCTACACCAAAATTTGTTAGCAAAGAACCAACAAGACTAATCATGTGTATAAATCAAGAATGCAGAAACAAAAAGAGAAAATGAAACAGAAAATGTGATGACATTATTAAGTCGCAATCGAACGAATCTGTCAACGTTAAATTGATGTAACATGAAACCTATTTGCTCAAAAACGCCGTGTAGAGCAATAAAAGTTCACAAACCTCCTAATGGGCTAATTGACACGAGTGAGTAAAATCTTCCGCACCCTAGATAAGAACAAGAAACATGCTAAACTATTTGTAGGAGTAAAAATTACGGCGGTCAAGGAATTACACAAATTCAAATAGAAACTATTCAGTTACACTAATCTAGTGTCACTTTTCTAATAGTGTACCATGAAGTTGCAAAGGTTATATCTATAAACCGAACTTGAAACAATCCTATATAATCAATCATTCATATTATCAAATAAATCATTGTCGTCTTTGGTGAATTACAAAGAGCTAGTTATAATGATCCTCCTATTCAACTCCATGGATCATTTCCGAGCACCACATAACATTTCTGCGACATCGGAAGATTTCGATCATTGCACCCGTTTCGAACATAAAAAATAATTTCGAAATATTTATTGAAACATTGTGGTGATCGGTCTATAAATGGTATGGTAAAATCCATGAACTTGGATTCTTCTTTTGAACCTATCATTGCATTCTTAATACCAAACTACCAAATACCCTTTCAATTGGATAGATGAATCTTTAAAAAATGTTCTCATACTCGTACTTATTTCCTTATTTGCATTCGAACTCCAGCCACTATAGCTTATTCCAAATAAGTCTGAATCCATTTTATGTAATAAAATATCAAAATACAATGAATTATTGCACTTTTATCTCTTTGTATCTTCTAATCTGAACATCATAATAGCGAGTTGAGACAATGACTCAAATCCACTCAACTTTTCTATTTTAAATTTTATACATACTTAGATAATCCAATCTGTTAATTAAACCAATTCAATTGTGAAGCACAAATTCCACACTTTCACCACATTTTATGGGGTTTATTAACTTCGACCAAATCTTAGAAGCACTGCGTTCTTACTATGTATTGTACATTCTTATCTCAATCAAATCAGATTTTTTGAAGATCGTCAAATTAGAACATAATAATTCGGACAAAGATAAATCAGAAAGATTCAAATTAAATAAAAATCAAATTTGACCCGACATTCTGATCAAATAATTAAAAAATATGCATATGATTTAAAAAATAGTCTACAAACATTTGAAGTAGACAATTCGAACATCTTTTCAATTACCAAATGAGCTTTTAAAATGGGGCAATTGCCGGAGTTTTTAGAATTCCAAAATAGAACTATTATTTTCTTCTTCTCAGAATATAAGTTATTACTGTCATGTCATGATTAAAAATGCCATTAACCAAAATACTGTAATATTGAATGCCTAATACTACAACTATTGGGTAAGTAAAGATTTTAAGCAGAGAAAAGGTGAAAGACATTCTTCCATATGAAAGAAGAGCCGACCTCCAATGCAAAAGAAAGGAGTGGCTAGACCACTCATTTGACATGATACTCCTATTTCGAGAAGAATAATAACAATCTTATATTCTTATTTAGGAATTTGAAAACATATTTACCCCTATTTTCCGGAAAATTCCCTTTTCTAACACATCGCCCATTATCATGCCTTAAATCTAAATTTGGCGTGCTAAATTCTACGGAGCATTAATACTCTAAATTCCACTCAAATTAACATTTTTATCCCCGCAGAACTTTATTGTAAATTGTTATTGCTCTATTTAAAATGAAAACGTATGGGTTGAGAGTTGAGATTGCAATCCATTTTCCCATTTCAGATTATAGAATTCATTATAGGTGATAACATGAGAAGGAAAATCAAGCAAACAAGAATCCCCAATACAGATCAAACACTCAACAAGATGAAAGGTAACCAACCACTTGTGCAAGTGCACACTTACTGTTCCGCCATTAAATATATGGTAATGTTTTATACCCCTTTTTTGGGGGCACAAAGAAACTGGGAAAGAGGATGGCACAACTGTCAAGCAGGGGCCTGCTGCTGGAATGGACGAATGACAGTTTTAGATATCTGCCCTGGTGGTCTTTGAGAGACAGACTACACACAGCCAGCCAAGCCAGTACAACGGTTTTCTCAAAAAACCAAGAAAAAACATAAATAATTGTTTCGGCCATAGATAGAGAGTAATGGAAGATCAGACCTATTACCGGTTCTGAGACGGCATCCTATCAGATCCATGTCTCTGGCGGAAGTTACCAGACGATCTGATCGTAGAAGAATCCGACCCACTGGCTGATGCTTGGTGGTAAAACGGGCCCCAAATAGGATCTCTTTCCACCTGTGGTGGCAAGCTGTTGAAGGCTGGACCTGTATGTTCTCGCTGCTCCCAACCACGATACCGGATGGGTGAAGGGCTCTCTGTTGCTTCTTGGAAGCTTCTTCCAGATGAAGCAGCAGCTGCAGCAGCAGATGATGATGGATAGAAGTAAAACCCTCCTGCAGCGGAGGCAGGCTGATGGTGGTGGTGGAGGTGGTGGTGATCAGATGAGGATGATGGAGCCTGTTGCATGTGAATCCCCCTGTGTCCA